ACTCAATTCCAGTGCATCGCAACAACTCGAGCAGGCATTTGTGATCCGTTCTCAATTTATTCCAGTAGTTCTTCATCTGCGATACTGTCCAATCCTTCCCCGTAGAGGCATTGAACATGGCTGCTATACGACGCCATCCTGTCGAGGAGAAGCATTTGCCTCGTCGATGGCCTTCAGCTACAACTAATTCGCAGGTCTCGATGAATACTTTGTGCTCTGCCTGGTTCCACCTCGCTGTCTTTCGCACCTGGCCTTGGGCTGCCTGCGTGTGAGACAGAGCAGATGGCAACTTGTCGGGGCTCCCACTTGTGAACCACTGCCATGGGAAAATCGGTGTTAGAGTCAGGTTATACTGCAATTACAACGGAGTCCATTCCATGAAAAAGTTGTTCCCGAATGTTTTGACAGGGGAAATCGAATGTGGCGTGTAGGCTAAAATGTCTGATAACATGAAGCAAAATTCTCAATTGGTAAAACAGGCGGTGTGTACTGACTGTGAAATGCCGATTTGGGTAGCGCAAGACAAGTTCCCATGTAAGTGAAAGTCTCAATTCATAATTTCGGCTATGCTAAAATGTGTGCACATATTTTTTCTAATACGCGTTGAACCCATGTGCACAACATGATTCCAGTTTGAATTGGGTAGCAAATTCACACAGAATCGGTATCCGGAAATGCACAGTTCGAAGAGTGCCTTATCGTACGGTCGGGGGAACTCGGCCACGGGGAGAAGTTGTGTTCCATGATAGCCGGTCAGAAATTGATGGTGGACGCCGGATGTGAACCCTTTTGTAGCTCCAGATCGATGTGTAGAACCCCTCTGTCGTAGGGAAAATTCAAGTATCTGATGGAAGTCAGACACGGTGAAGAGGGAAACAGAGGTTGGGTGTTCGATGGGCAGCTACGAAATGAACCCGTAAGGCTACTGGATTTATCGCCTGATCTGGTTTCGTGGGTGATTGGTGGTGAAAATTCCGGTGGCTTTCAAGAACATTCTCGGGTTGAAGCAGTAGGTGGAGAAGAAGCCGCTGCCAATGGGGGCAAAATCGGGAAGAAAATACAACGGGTAGAAGGTTACAATTCTGGGTCCTCTGCCGGATTATTTGACTTTTGGGGAGGGTTGTCAGTGTTGCACTGTTGGGAAATTCGTTTTTGTACAAAAAAAGGGTTTCAAACAGGGTCTTAATGTAACTAATGCTTACGACAAATATTTTTTTTTTTATATTTATGCTATCATATAACAAACTATATTATGGCATGTACATTGCACATGCTTCTTACTAGCGCTCTTTAAAGATTAGGAGGCTCCACTTTAAACTTTTTTTCCTTTTTCTGTTGTTTTTGTTTAACAAGAATAACAAGTTTGTCATTTATGTTTGGGAGCCATTTTGACCAACTATTAATACATTTTTTGTCAGTTGAAAGGTACGTAAGATCCATATTTACAATAATTATTAACTGCATATCATTGCCATTTGTTGGAATTGTCCGTCTATAAAGAAGAAATTTAACAAGGAGAGACACGATGATATTTTTACATGTATTTAGTCAATAATAACGGAACCCTTCAACACTGTAAAACAGATGAAATTCGGCTAAAAATTTGCTCCTAAATACTAAACAAACTAGTGCTAATGATCAAAATGGAGTGAATGACAAATTTTACTACATAATTAAGAGGGTGTTTGGTAAGAATTAAAATTAGATTTTGATAAAAAAAAATTGAAATGTGCGGTTGAAAAGTTGTGGGGCCCATGAAAGATGTGATTAATATTGATTATTTGACTTTGACTTGGATTAAAATCAAATTTTAATCCGGACCAAACATGGGCTAAAAAGATGAAGATGGATTATGTTTAAAAAGTAGATAGGAAGCCCCTATTTGTTTGTCATTTTTTTGGCAGAAAATGAAAATTTTGACAGTTATTTTCAACCGACTGGGACCCATCATGACACATTTTGATAAAAAAAAAATGCTACTCCTCCAGGTTACAACAGTAAGATTTGTTGGAAATGGTGGGTGTCAATTGAGTCAATTTTGACCACAATTTTAAGTGGGACCCGAT